GGGTAAACATAAATACAGAACAGAATTTCCACTCAAGCACACAGTGCGACGTCCGGCTTCAAGGTAAGAGTCTGGTCAAGTGTGTTATGTCTGTCGGCGAACTCGAAGCTCAGTAGCGATGGTTCATCCGGCAAGGCCAAGAGACTGTGTGTTTTGGCCGATTACTATCGGGAGGTTTTACGTGACGGCTTACTGTTGCCTATTTGCACGACTGGGATTGCTGGTATTGCAACGCTTTTATTCTTCCAACCCGAGTGTTGAACTGACCATCTTCGGTACGAACCCTCAGTGGCGGTTGGGATGAGTTAGCGGAAGACTCGGCGACCCTTTGAAGGCATGCTCACCGTCTGGAACAGGGCGCGGGATGATAAAAATGCTCATACGACGGTGCAGACGACGCTTGGCGTGCAAGAAGATCCATAACGGATCATAGCTCACTTGATATATGCATACGTAATTAGGACTTCTTATTAGGAATAGGCCCGAAAGGGTAAACATAAATACAGAACAGAATTTCCACTCAAGCACACAGTGCGACGTCCGGCTTCAAGGTAAGCGTCTGGTCAAGCTTGTTTGAGTGTGTTATGTCTGTCGGCGAACTCGAAGCTCAGTAGCGATGGTTCATCCGGCAAGGCCAATAGACTGTGTGTTTTGGCCGATTACTATCGGGAGGTTTTACGTGACGGCTTATTGTTGCCTATTTGCACGACTGGGATTGCTGGTATTGCAACTCTTTTATTCTTCCAACCGAGTGTTGAACTGACCATCTACGGTACGAACCCTCAGTGGCGGTTGGGATGAGTTAGGGGAAGACTCGGAGACCCTTTGAAGGCATGCTCACCGTCTGGGACAGGGCGCGGGATGATAAAAATGCTCATACGACGGTGCAGACGACGCTTGGCGTGCAAGAAGATCCATAACGGATCATAGCTCACTTGATATATGCATACGTAATTAGGACTTCTTATTAGGAATAGGCCCGAAAGGGTAAACATAAATACAGAACAGAATTTCCACTCAAGCACACAGTGCGACGTCCGGCTTCAAGGTAAGCGTCTGGTCAAGCTTGTTTGAGTGTGTTATGTCTGTCGGCGAACTCGAAGCTCAGTAGCGATGGTTCATCCGGCAAGGCCAATAGACTGTGTGTTTTGGCCGATTACTATCGGGAGGTTTTACGTGACGGCTTATTGTTGCCTATTTGCACGACTGGGATTGCTAGTATTGCAACGCTTTTATTCTTCCAACCCGAGTGTTGAACTGACCATCTACGGTACGAACCCTCAGTGGCGGTTGGGATGAGTTAGCGGAAGACTCGGCGACCCTTTGAAGGCATGCTCACCGTCTGGAACAGGGCGCGGGATGATAAAAATGCTCATACGACGGTGCAGACGACGCTTGGCGTGCAAGAAGATCCATAACGGATCATAGCTCACTTGATATATGCATACGTAATTAGGACTTCTTATTAGGAATAGGCCCGAAAGGGTAAACATAAATACAGAACAGAATTTCCACTCAAGCACACAGTGCGACGTCCGGCTTCAAGGTAAGCGTCTGGTCAAGCTTGTTTGAGTGTGTTATGTCTGTCGGCGAACTCGAAGCTCAGTAGCGATGGTTCATCCGGCAAGGCCAATAGACTGTGTGTTTTGGCCGATTACTATCGGGAGGTTTTACGTGACGGCTTATTGTTGCCTATTTGCACGACTGGTATTGCTGGTATTGCAACTCTTTTATTCTTCCAACCGAGTGTTGAACTGACCATCTACGGTACGAACCCTCAGTGGCGGTTGGGATGAGTTAGGGGAAGACTCGGAGACCCTTTGAAGGCATGCTCACCGTCTGGGACAGGGCGCGGGATGATAAAAATGCTCATACGACGGTGCAGACGACGCTTGGCGTGCAAGAAGATCCATAACGGATCATAGCTCACTTGATATATGCATACGTAATTAGGACTTCTTATTAGGAATAGGCCCGAAAGGGTAAACATAAATACAGAACAGAATTTCCACTCAAGCACACAGTGCGACGTCCGGCTTCAAGGTAAGCGTCTGGTCAAGCTTGTTTGAGTGTGGTATGTCTGTCGGCGAACTCGAAGCTCAGTAGCGATGGTTCATCCGGCAAGGCCAATAGACTGTGTGTTTTGGCCGATTACTATCGGGAGGTTTTACGTGACGGCTTATTGTTGCCTATTTGCACGACCGGGATTGCTGGTATTGCAACTCTTTTATTCTTCCAACCGTGGGTTGAACTGACCATCTACGGTACGAACCCTCAGTGGCGGTTGGGATGAGTTAGCGGAAGACTCGGCGACCCTTTGAAGGCATGCTCACCGTCTGGGACAGGGCGCGGGATGATAAAAATGCTCATACGACGGTGCAGACGACGCTTGGCGTGCAAGAAGATCCATAACGGATCATAGCTCACTTGATATATGCATACGTAATTAGGACTTCTTATTAGGAATAGGCCCGAAAGGGTAAACATAAATACAGAACAGAATTTCCACTCAAGCACACAGTGCGACGTCCGGCTTCAAGGTAAGCGTCTGGTCAAGCTTGTTTGAGTGTGTTATGTCTGTCGGCGAACTCGAAGCTCAGTAGCGATGGTTCATCCGGCAAGGCCAAGAGACTGTGTGTTTTGGCCGATTACTATCGGAAGGTTTTACGTGACGGCTTATTGTTGCCTATTTGCACGACTGGGATTGCTGGTATTGCAACTCTTTTAATTTTCCAACTGTGGTGTAGCGGGATCAGCAAAATCTGCGAGATTGCCGGATCCACTTACCAACTGCACCCAGACACCGACTAACGGAGGGGGTCCCCCGATGATCCGTGTTCTGCTGAACTTTCCTCACCTTGTGTACCCGTCGGTAGGGCGGGATCTTGCTCTCTCGGTAGCTTCCGAAGAGTTCAAGTGGAGAAACTTGAGCGTCTTGGCGAGACGTGGGGATGGGGTGGAGCAGCAGTGGAAAATCTTCACTCTGCGTCCGTGGATGGTTCCGTATCCTAAGCGAATATTCGAGCTTATGGATTCGGGGCCTAGATCGTGGATCTGGCCGTAGGGTTGCCTTGCGGGTGTGTTCCCTTGCCTTTGTAGTTTCCTTTGCGTCGTACTTGCCGCCTCCTGTGACGGGATCTTGAGAGTTGAGAACCTCTAGGGTGTAACCGACCAAGTAGTAAATTCGGTTAACCTGTCGGATCTGCACAAGTAAAGGAAAAGCTCACTAGGTTGTAGGATCTGGCCAATGTATTATCCAGTTATCACTACCAACACTAGATTCGCAATTCCCAACCTTCTCCTGGCTCGTACGGCCAATGTAGTTCCGGTTCTTGAGGGCGGGAAAGCACTTAAGTGATACTGTGCAAATTGAGGACTTTATTTATTGAGTTAGTCCCTAGGGACGAAGTATACACGAAACTTGTCCGGGCCAATGCTCATCTCCGCTACGAATGTTCTGCGAGGCCAAATCCAATCCCCGTCGAAACGCTATACGTAGTTGATCTCCACTTGATGATCCCGTTAGGATTCCGTGCCCACTTGTTCTCTAGTTCGTGATCTTGATTACTCCATAATGAGACCTGATGCTTGGCGGGCGAAGTAGACGCTGTCCTTGTCCAGGGCCAATGTTCATTCCTGTTACGGCGATCGCCCGAGGCCAAATCCAACCCCCGAGACGACTACAGGTCACTTGCCCTCCACAGTGCAAATTGAGGACTTTATTTATTGAGTTAGTCCCTAGGGTCGAAGTATACACGAAACTTGTCCGGGCCAATGCTCATCTCCGCTACGAATGTTCTGCGAGGCCAAATCCAATCCCCGTCGAAACGCTATACGTAGTTGATCTCCACTTGATGATCCCGTTAGGATTCCGTGCCCACTTGTTCTCTAGTTCGTGATCTTGATTACTCCATAGTGAGACCTGATGCTTGGCGGGCGAAGTAGACGCTGTCCTTGTCCAGGGCCAATGTTCACTCCTGTTACGGCGATCGCCCGAGGCCAAATCCAACCCCCGAGACGACTACAGGTCACTTGCCCTCCACAGTGCAAATTGAGGTCTGTATTGATATTTAAGCCTATACCTGCCTGGATTTCTACCTTCTATGTCTTTCATCTGCTAAATCCCTTACCAGGCTCGGCTGCATGTCTCTTCTTCCCTAGACCCATCATCCCAGCTGTATTATCTTCAGATCCACCGGATCCATGACGTAATCATCATGGTCACCCTATTATAGGTACACTCATCCGGATCCAGGTCGCTTGGATCCACTTCACTGTAATTGTACACTCGCCGTGGATCCGTGCTCTCCAATCGTCCAACATCATCTTGCAATCGTCTGTGACCTCCATTGTCCCACGAAAGTTCCAGATCCACTGCATCCTCATCCCTGTACCCTGGATCCAGGTCCTTCTATGCGGGATCCTCCCTCCTTGGATCCGAACCCGGAAGTATGGGATCCGGGGTACCTTGCGGTGGATCCTGACTTCTCGTTAGCCGTGGCTACTAGATCCACCTTCAGAGGGCACCGACCATCCTTCCTTCATAGGATCCACACTCGATCCACTCTTGTATAGTATATCCCATATCCATCTTAGTGAATCCAGGTAAGGGTGGATCCGAGGTAAGTCTTGGTGGATCTTGCCTTCTCGTACGTCGCTCATATCGGATCCATCGTCATTCCATACGGGGTGCCGCTCGCCATGGCTAATCCACCACAGGCAACTTGCATCCGTGCCAGCCAACCCAAATCCTCTCTAATCACTTGAAATTGTCACTGATTCGGGATAGTGACCCCGCGTCAGGCCCATTCTCTTATTTCTGAGAAAGCACTTCACCACAGTTTTATCTTTTGTTCGCACCAAGCTCGCCGAGGTTTCCCTGGTCCTGTACCGAATTATAATAGGCATATGTATTTCAGCATCCATGCAGACACAATTTGCTAGGAACATTTATTATCGATAAGGCAAACCCGCAGAAATCCCTACCGACTCCTATCCATCTACTTCTTCTTGAAGACAATGAAAGGACGAATGCAGGCCACGAAAGTGATCCAATCCATCGCCGACGACACTGGTTTAGGATCCTCCAAGTCGAAAATCTGCCGGATCTTGCCCTTCTTCCCTTGAATTTTGAGCACGAACGCGTGTCCAACGTGGCTGTGGTTGTACGCAACAACGAAGTAAAGTCCGGTCTGAAGAGGCAATTCCTCCAGTATACGTGATCCACGGCGTCCAGCTATGGTGAAGCTGTCTTTGTCGATGGCCTTAAAGATAAAATCACGTCCAGCATCCCTAAGTCGACGCAGGAACCGAAGGACTATCTTCCACGAAGTACCCCGTGTGAGGTCCACTACACGCTCTCGGAGTTCATCAGCAGCGAATGTATCAATATCATCTTGCGTCACGATGTCCGGTCGCCCAGCAAGCTCATCAGCACACTTCAATGCAGTGAACATGCATAGGCCTCAAGCATCGGCACCAATTGCACGCTTGCCGTATTCGTCCTTAGGCCAGAAGTCCTTAAACTTTTCACATCGGAAGCCTTCCAGCGATCCACGAGGTCCAACTCCTCAGCGAAATCATCGTCCAGCAACTGCTGACGAGGCTCCCACGTGCGCTGATAATAGCGTCGATTCACAAGCAGACGGTTGACCCACAACGCACGATACTCTGGACCAAGAGGAGAATCACGGCGATCATTGATACGAGCCACGCTCCAGGTCCTTGTGGTAGTTGCATAGTCAGTTGTGACAGTCACTTGCTTACTGCTATAGTACTTGCCGTATATCGGATAACACATTGCATCATCAGATGAGAGTTCGGTGTCAGAAGTGGCCAGAATGGTGGCAGTAGCTGCACGTTCGGCGGTTGCAGCCAGTCCGGTGACAGAAAGTAATTGTGCACTAGCAGTAACACTTTGGTCGGTGGCAGTAGTCTGGGCTTTCCGAGAACCCTTGCCTGTTCTACCAGCCGCCTGCTCTACCTCTTCGTGATGTTTGACTTCATCGGTCATGCAACCTGCAAGTTCCGTCAAGATCTGAGCTACAGTCTGGTCTGTGACGCTAGAGGTTGAAAACGCGTCACTACGGTCCCTCGATTCAATGACGTGAGAATAATCCGCCGTGGCAGCAGCAAGATGCTCTGTTGGCCCACTCGCCGACGCTCCTGCGCCACTACGCGAGCTGCACGACGCTGCACTGCTCACTGTGGCTGTTGTTTCAGTAGGCTCTACAGTGATCTCGGCCATGGCGGCTCGAAGGGCTCTGAGAGCAAGCCACCAACAGCATTCTTCGGCTTGCCCCAGCGGCTTCTTCCTTTTTTTTAATCCGGCCCTCGCGGCCTCACGCCCTCTGGTCACCAAGCACTATGCCTCCACGCTGAGCTCGGCACCAGGACCTTGGCTCTTCTTACGGGCTGCCGCCCGCTTGCGCTTGCGCTGTTGGATCTTGGCTGCAGTGCCGAGCTTCTGTTTCTCCAGGTCTTTCGGCGCTGATGATGGCGTGCCCGGCACCGGTGCTGCGAAACGAGCAGTCTTCAAGGTCGCTACCATGGCCTGCCCGCGAAGTCCGTCTTCCCAGACAGCAAGACTGAATGGGCAAAGCTGGAGCAGCTAACTCGGGGCTTCCTCGGCTGACGACAATGAGGACTGAGGCGTCTGCAAAGAGAATCTTCGCAGACCTGTATAATTGAACGCATTCTGTGATGTGTAAAGTATGCAAAGATGCAGGGAGGCTGTCAATGGTTGCACCTTTACATAATGTCATATTGTACCAGCTACCTCTGGAAGGTGATGATCCGATACAATAGGTCTCGTTAAAGCTGTTAGTCAAGATGTAGCTATGCGATAGTCTGTACCAGTGTTGTTCTCCTAAAACCAATCATCTTAAGTCTGCTGCTAGGCAGCCTGCTTGTAGTGGGCCAACTCTAATCTACCTCACTTCATCTTTTGACGCCTACAAGTAACGTCTTCTTCTTCTTTCTACTTCTTCTCGACCTGTCATACGAGCTATAGCATGCACCTGTTTTACAGAAGGATCTGCAGCCCTCCGCAAACTTAATCATGAAAAAAAAAACGAGGCGGAGCACTGCGAAATATTTTTGGAAAGGTGATTTATTTTCCGAGCAGAGGTAGTACATCGAAACGACGTCTCCAGGGCGACGATTTCAAGAGACTGGTGGCATCTACGATTCGCACCAAGCAACTCGGGACAGTCGCTTGCAACCGCAAAGAGCCGCTCACACAATACGGATATTATCCGCTTGATCAACCATCCCGCCGCCGATGGCTGGCAAGAGCAACGACATGTTCTACAAGACCGTCGTGTTCGCTGAGGACATGACGGATGCCATGCTCGAGAAGGCACTGAGCACCGCTAGAGATGCCTTTCAACTGCAAGTCACGGTGCGTCTGGATGCTAGTGCCATAAAACTATGAGTTGGCCTCCCAGTGACTAACTTGACATGCGAGTGCGCTCCACAGTCGGAGAAAACGTTCTCGACAATCGCGGAGTTTGTGCGCCGCAGCATGGAAAAGGAATATGGCCGCGGCTGGAATTGCGTCGTCGGATCGTCGTTCGGCGCCTACGTGACGCACGAGATCAAAACGTACGTCTACTTTAGCGTTGCAGCGGGTGTCTCCGTGCTCGTGTGGAAAACCTAGCTGCCTACGTACACACACAAGATCAATTACATTTTACACAACATTTCTGCTGAAACTTACAATAAACATGTCGTTTTATCCGTCCTCACCAATTTCCCCTTTTTGGCGCTCAACATCATGATGCGTCGCTACTCAATTGCTCTCCCGGGCTTCCGCAGTCTTCAACTGCCCGTGGGTGATTCAGAATCCTTGTTGTTCGCATTTGCTCCGACCTCCGCAGTTCCGGAGTTGCCCAAACTGCTGTGTTTGCCGTCCACATTCGGCTCCGCGGCTAGCGACTTCCGTTCCCAATTTGGCAGCGTGCAGATCACGCGAAGCTTCGCGCTCTATGGCGTAAACCTGCGCGCACCGGAGCAGGAATTTGGGCGGGAACGTGTCGAACGTGATGCTGACGAGGTTCTGCGCGCAGCCGACGCGCTCGCGCTGGAGGAGTTCTCGGTGTTAGGCTGCAGCCACGGCGCCAATGTGAGCGCTGTACTAGCGGCCAAGCACCCCGAGCGAGTATCGCGCCTAGTGCTGGTGAACGGCAACGTACGCAGCTCTTGGATGTGCCAACTTGCATCTGCCGCCGGCTGAAAAAACTTGATGTGATTTGCTGCAGGCTTTTGTGAGCGATGAGGACCTAGAGGACATGGAGGAGCACGCCGATGTGACCGCGTGGCCCAAGGAGATGCGTGAGGCAGCTATAGCAAAGTTTGGTGCCGAGAACCTTCAGATCAAGTGGGCCGGTGCGTGCATGGGTCTGTTGATTATTTTTAGAATTGTGTGGCAATTTGTCTTACAATATGTGTGCTGCCTCAGAGATGCTCGAAGCGCTTCGTCAGGTGGAGCGTGAGGACGGCGGCGATCTTATCTGCGGCCATCTGCCGTACATTAAGTGTAAAACGCTCGTGGTCGCCGGCGGCCAGGATAATTTCGTGCCTCCGTTCCACAGCGAGTACCTGAGCGAGCGTATCATGCACTCCCGACTCGAAGTGTTGGCCGAGGGCGGCAATGACCTCGTCCTGTCCGAAGCCGAACGCTTCAACACGCTCCTAGAGACTTTTCTGACGGAGCCTGACGACAAGCTGACGCAGAGCCGAGAATTCGTGGCCGTACCTTCAAGGGCGTAACTATTATAGTTAGAGTAACAAGCCGGTCCCCCAGTACTACTGGGCCAGCACACAGTCAAACAACGCACACACAGGCACGCTTGTATTTACATCGAGTCTCGTCTTAAGCTCCTGCCTCCGCTCGGCTATTTAGCTATTTGAACTACTTACTATACGCTCAGTCGGCACAGTTCATGCAGAAAATGAAGTTGAAGTGGCGGTGGCCATGTTACTCGGCGTCATGGACAGCGATCTACTGTACACCTGCTGCTGTTGCGGTGGGTGTTGCTGTTGTTGGTAAGGAAATTGCTGCTGTAACATTGGCTGCTGTTGCGGCACATGCTGCTGGAAGTTGACGTAAGTTGGTGCCTGGTTCAAGCTGGCCCGGCGTGTCGAATCATAGTACTCCTGTACCGGGCCCCCACGAGGTGGTGAGGTCGTCATGGAAGGCGTCATAGCATACGACGGCATACTCATCGTACGCTTCAGCGGTGCTACACTACCGTTAGTCGCGGGGACGCCGGCATAATAGCCGTACCGGGTCCCAGCGTACACGTTCGCCTGATTTGGACTAAGACCCAGGCTCACGCCTGCAGCTACTCGCGAGTCGTCCTCCAGAATTCCCTGGAGAAGCTCTCCAAATCCCTCTTCATCGCCGAAAGGTGCTGGCGCAAGGTGCTCATACTCCGATGGGTGGTGCGACTGAGCAGCCTGCGTGTACTCGATGCCGTTGTTGCTATACATTGGGGTGTACGCTCCGTACTGCTTGGCCGGGTTCTCGTAACTATACATTTGAGGAGATATCGTAGGCAGTGTTGATAACTCGGACTTCATGAGTTGAGATGTCGCGTACGTCCTCGTGACGGGCGTGGGGAGTGGACCACTTGACACACTGCGAACACGTTTGGGCGGGTTCGAGGACGCCGAAGACAGCGAGGACGATGACGCTGGAGCGAATCCTCGAGTGCTGCGGAGCTGAGTGGGCGAACCAGCATTGATCACGTGCTCGGACGGCTTGAAGTCAAGCTCGGACTGGCCCATGCTTCTCAGACGCAGCACAGCCTCATCGTAACGCATGCCCCCGAGGGCTTTGCTGATCTCCATCCGACGGTTGTACTCAGTCTCCTCCACGGACTTGGCCAGGTGCCACTGGTCCTTGCCGCAACGGCAGTGCTTGCCCTCAGCACCCTTGTAGCGGCCCGCCTGGCTCGAGAGGGAGCTGCCACTGGCCGGCGGCACTACTGCGCACTCGCAGCAGTGAAACATTTGCTTGGAGCGAAAGGTGCCCAGCCAATTGGACTTGAAGCGTGGAAACCAGCTCTTGCGGTCGCGGGTCTTTTCAGGCCCGTCGCCGGCGTTGTTAGAGCTGTAGTTGGTACCGGTTTGGTGCACGCTGTCGCTGGCGGGGTCGGCCGATGCGGGCGAGCACGTTAATTGGCCTTCAGCATAGTTGTATCCATTATGCTGGTAGTGTTTATTGTCTCGTAGGTCGCTCCATGGGGACATCAAGAGAGCAGTTGAAGATGCTGTCACGTGCTGTTCGAGTTGAAGCGCTCCCATGGCTCTGGCCGCTACGTCTGGTCTGTTGCCCTGCGGTGCCGCACGTTCAGCACCGGAGCACTATTGACTCCCTTAAAAATTTGCCTACCTGCGATGCCAATGGCAAGCAACTCCTAGGTTGGTCCTCCGCCGAGCGTTGCGAGCTTTAACAGGGAAAGAGAGAATGAGCATCACGAGCCAGTCAGCTGGTTGGAGCTCCTACTGATCGGCTGCCGGGAGGACACTCTTCCTGTTGGCCGAACGGACACAGACGGCACACACCCATCGCACACCGAACTCCCAAGCTCAAGCACTACAGTACTGCACCTTGTTTTCGCAGGGGTGGACCACATAGGATTTGCAAATAAACTATATTTTAGCACACAAATCATTTCTCGTTTTAGATTCTGGATCATTATATCCGGAAGTTTATCAAAGGTCCGAGGACGCGAAATCGGGGTGCAGTACTGCACCGTGCAGTACTGTATCTCTCGCCTCGGTTGCGACTGCCGAGGTATTATGAGGCGATGATAAGGACAGCAGCAACAAGTGTATGCAGAGGGCTAAGGCGTCGTAAAAAGCGTAGCTGCCACGGACCGACGCCCACACGAGTAACTGCAGCGACTGCTGTGGAGATCACAGCGCTTGTCGCGCTGCCAGAAGACGATAGCCTGCCACGGCGTGGCGCGTGGCCCATGCTGCCGCACCGCGACTTCATAGTCGGATCAAGGAAAGTCCCCACCGATTTGTTGTCTACTGGATCTCTTTGTTCGCTCGATTGCGCCCGTTCGACGCGAAATCGCTGCTGTTACAAGGCTGCACTAGGCAAAAAAACATATGTACAGCACAACGGCATTGCAAATAAACCTTGGACAGAGCAAGTTCATGACAGTGCTACTGCAGCCAACGCTCTACAACTGTTGACACGCGAGGAGAAAAAGAATGCTGATCAAGCAAAGACGAGGTTGAAGTTGCTTGTTGCTTTGCATATCTACATATTTGCGAGCACCGGTCCCCACACTTTGCCATCGAACCCAGCTCCGCTACCTTGCCGCTCCGAAGTGATGCTGGGCTGCGTGGCTGGCTTGGCTCGCGTGCCGCTGGCATTGGCCAACAATGCGAAAATCTATCACTTTCATCAATTCGGTCAGGCATTTCGGTGTGTGCACAGGCAGGAATGGCGTCTGCTACTGTACATGTTCACACTGCGGGAAGTGGTGTGCTGGGATATTGAGGCACCGAACTGCCCGCAGCAGCTATCTAAAATAAGTGAATTACTATTATACTGAGTTCGACCAGTGGGCGGTTGCAAGCTGTTAGAGTGAATGCTTCACAACGAACTGGTTTGCTCGCCGGCGAACTTCGGGCCTCGCGGTTCGCTTCAACGCGCCCCCTGCTCAAATCGCGGTGCTGTTGCCGAGGGAAGGCAGCTTCAATGAAGAACGAGAGAGCGACGAGCGTCAGTGACGCTGCGTCTAGTAAAACCTGTCATAAATGAATCTTAACAAACTTGATATCCTGTCGTAAATGATATAATTCAGGTCCACCGAGTCCGTTCTCCACTATGGAGTAAACTTGATGCAGTACTTATTGCTCAAATGACAGACCTGATACAAATTTTTGAGGACAGCAAGTCTATATGTGTAGCCTACAACTACGAAGTGGCCGTGAAAAACCTTGCAATTAATCGTATGTCAGTAACTAGCAGCCTTGAAAGTGTTTGTATCATTTTTCGACTGCATCGAGAACACATTCGATTTGTATGTGTTCTCGAAGACAATTTTTGGTACATACGTATTTTAGGCAGTCGAAGCTATATGTACAGTACCAACAACTTTTACAAGTCCCGACTAAATTCTTGTCTGGCGCACGAAAACGCAAAAAGACAGTAGCCCATCTAAACTCTATCGCCTCCACGTTAGATCTGGAGACGCACAGCGAAGTACATTTGCATGTTATGCTTCTCTAAGCCGGCATGCTTTCTCACCTTGTTCATATACGCTGATATTGGCGCCTCATAAAGACTTTATAACTACATGTAGTAATGGCCTGTTTACTGAAGATGACCTGATTAGCATGATATGCTGCTATATCTGATAGAGGAATCGTTCATTGGTCATATCAGGTAGAAAGCTTTTACTGTACAGTACTGTACAGTATTGCACCAGTACATGTATACAGTACATGTATACAGTACATGCAGACCTGCCGATCCCGCGCTGTGCTCGGCCGCAGTGGCGTGCCAATGCTTGACTCCTGTCAAAGCTAGGCAGCGCATAGCGACGAGGACGCGCTTTAATAATACATAGTTAAGTCGCCGAGGAGCGCCTTTACCGTGATGCTCACGGTGAGCGTCACCGCGCAAATCCTTCGCCAGCTCCGCCGACCGGACTTCTTGATAAAAGAGCAAGAACGTGGCATCTCTAAAACATGCGGGTGATTTGTGCATGTGTACTAAATAAGTTTTAAAGGGTGCGGGCTCAAACGTTTTTAGCACCGACCCATTATTACGAAGGCTTTGTATCAGCCCACAGCAGCTTCAAACAAACCTTTAGCTTGAGACCCGCGATCGCATCACCGTCCTTCGGTGCGACGGCTTAGGAAGACCATTTATTTTTAGACAACGTGCCATTCTGGATGTCTTGCTTGCTCCTAAGTGAGGATAACGAAAATATGTTGGTCAGAAGCTCAGAAGCTAGACCTTTGTACACTACTTCAAACTGACTAATATCAATTGGACACCTATTACAAATCGACACACTGACCTCGAATTTGAATCATTAATAGTTCTTGCATTTTGCATCTCCGTTCTTTCCAACCCTGCATTCCTCTCGATAACAGCTATGGACTCTTCTACATGTGATAGCATTTTATGATTGTCTGCAAATGGTGCAGGTGGACTGGCAATGTTGCCCACTCAATACCGAGCTGGGCGAGGAAAACAATAGAAGCAAAAAGTGCCAACTTAAGGCAACGACTCCACTCAGCGCTTCCGCAGCTTTAATAAAAGCGAAACCTAGGTAAATAACATCTCCACGTAGCAAAATAGTTTTGATACAAATAAGTTAAGATAATAAGCACCTTTTAGAACCTCTAGAGAGCATTTCCACCCATTTGGACAATACTAAATGTAAAATCGTTTAAAGTCGAACAGGTGGAATTTCCACCCGTTTGGACAATCAAACATTTCCACTGGAAATGCATCTTTTTAGCATAATTGCACAAATCACCCGCATGTTTTAGAAATTCCCCCTTTTTTACTACATGTATCGCTTGATGCGCTGACTACTGTACTTGACGCAGCCGGATTCAGGTAGCTTCAAACTCCTCGGCTCTTCTTTCCAAGAGCCCTGCCATTGCCATCGACAATTTGCCAATGGCCCATTGGGCTACAATCCCATGGAGGCTCCATGCTCGGCGAAACTGATTTTGCGTGTTGGTACCGGTGCAGTACTGCACCCCGTTTTCGCGTCCTTGGACCTTTGATAAACTTCCGGATGTGATGATCCTGAATCCAAATGAACAAATTTTTTTTGTAAGCTAGAATCTGACTTATTTGCAAATCCAATATGGTCCACCCCCGCGAAAACGGGGTGCAGTACTGTACTGTCAAGCGTCCCAGGAGCAAATGATGAGCACGCTTCTTGAGTTTTTTTGGAGGAGAATAACCTCAAGAGTAATGCTCTTGAGGTTTTTCGATTCCACCTCAGTCAACTTTAGCAGGAGAGCACTCATTATCAACCGATCCTATTGGCTAAATAGATGTTACTGAAATATTTTATACGCAGAAGAAAATATCCCCCTGATCAACAAGATGGTTGTAACGGGGTACAATCCAGTGTGCCCCATGTTACATAAAGAGTGACCCGTCACTCTTGTGGACACCTGGTACGTGGTCTCGGAACCAGTCAATGCATGACTACTTAGCTCCACTATAGGTAACCTCTAGATTGTATGGGACCCAAGCTTATCTTACTTATAAATACAGCAGTCTTAAATCTACTCTTCTAAGTAGCAAACCGTTCCCTTTGAGGCCGGGAACACGTGGACTAGCGTTCACTCGGGTAGTTAATACCCTTAAGCACTTCCTCTGTGCAAGGTTGTGACGGGGTGTGACGGGGTCACACAGCACCTTGCGCTAGAGGAAGTTATCTTCGGAGAGTATACAAACTCTCAGTGAACAACAGTTCACAGGTCCCCTCTTTATTTAAAAGAGAGCGAAGTGACCTAAATAAGGCAGATTGTAAACAGAGTATATTTATAGGTAGATTAAGTTTGGGTTTAATACAAACTATAAGTCACCTATAGAAATGCAATGTCGTTGACCAATGGTTGGCTTTGAACGACCTTGGTACTTTGTACCAAATATCCCGGAGTATGATGTGGTGTAGTGTAACGGGGTTACATGGTGTGGAACACACAGGGGTACGAAGTACCCGGAGAGTTAACAAACTCTCAGTACATAAGTTGGAGAGTTAACAAGGTCTCTCAGTACGTTGGCTGAAAGCCACACGTTATGCATTTGATTAGGTTTAACTATGCTAGATAGTTAAAGAGATACATTTACCCCTAGGCGGCTTGGCCGCAATAATAGTAAATAAATCACTTCTGGTTTTGAAGCATAAAAGTTAAGGTGTTAACTTTGAGCCCTGGTCTTGGGCTGTAAGTGTCCTTTGGATAAGGAACTTAGTATTAGTGACTCTTTGAGTCGAACGTCTTCTAAAGCTACGGCAGCCCCGCTGCACTTGGTAGCACTTGTAGTCAATCCCGCTCCTGAGTCGGTTGACTATATCCTCTGCGAGGATGGAACACCCCGTGTTCGCGAATTTGCCCCCGGCGCAGCAGGACGCGCTTACTAAGCTTATGTCCTTGCTTGGCCCGGAGGGCGTGGCTCATCTTGCATCGCAAGGTCCAGAGGCGGTCACTGCCAGGCTGGAATCGTTCTCCCGCTACGAGAACGCGCTCTTGGAGCATGTCCAAGAGAAGATGAGCGCCGCAACGGCGGCGGCGTCGATGACGCG